AAACTGGTGTACAAAGTTGTTAAAAACTTTCCCCAAAAAAACTTCCATCAGATATTGAGGTCACTGGTCTGAATACTTCAGACCCAATGCAATCAACTTACACTTGATTAAAATTACTGGTGCATAAGATATATATTTTAATCTTGTGAACATAGGGTGTGATATGGATTAAACATACTGTAAAATGTGTTTGCACTTTGGTGTAATATGAATAAAATAATAAAATACAACCTTTAATTTAATCTGGTTTAGCGGTTAATTAATGTTTATGTAATAAAGCCATAAAGATCAGGTCTGTCAATACATGTTTTTATTTGCTTGTTTTTATTTTTTATTCATATTGATTCCAGTCATGTTTTAGCCTTACAAAATACCTGTATTTCTGGTTCCTTTTTCTAGGTCTTAGGATATTATTTAAGAAATGACATTGACACCAAAAATCTTATTGATGAAATCAAGTCTATTGCCAGTACCCCAACAGAGAGGTACTTTTTCAATGTGTCAGCTGAAGAAGCCCTCTTAGAAATTGCAGGGACCCTTGGAGAACGAATCTTTAATATAGAAGGTGAGTGAAAATTAATGACTCACTAAAGGATTTCTGGAATTTCTAGTACATTTTAAAGGGGAACTACAGTCCCAATTTCTCTGACCAGTTATTTAATCTCAGTATAAAATAAATTCATTGACAGTTTAGAAAAAAGTAAATAGCAAATTTTGAATTCAGCACAAAATTGTGAACTTTGTGTAAGTACTGCAAGTCTCCATGTTGTTGCAAACCCCTGGTCTTGCCATGGGCAAGAGTGGGAGTTCCTGTGAATGGTGACATGATGCGGCCCTTCCTGTTTAATAGTCAGTGTAATTACTAATGTAATGCAATGTATCGTATGACCCTAACCCTAACAAGTAAGGCTCATTTATCGGTAAAACCATCTTGAAGTCGAGAGCAATATTTCTATTGGTGTAAAAGAGACGTATTCACCAGCCTGCTTCTTTATAATGTAATAAGGCCACTTCAGGTCACAGGTTTTTTGCCTCATTGTGAAGCGTATAATATGGCGCTATGCATACCTGCATATTTTAATTTTAAGTAAATTGTTAAGTTATTGTGTATATTTTACTTTTGAAATGCACTCATCAATGCTGATTGTTTCTAACCCAAAAATATAAAAATAGCATTGCAGTTCCCCAGTGGTTAATTACTAAAAAAAAACAGTTATATTTCTATATTTTGATGGGGGGCAGTGGTGTGACTGCCACTTGGGCACAAACAGGTATGTCCAGCACTCTGGACATGCCTCTTTCATCCTATGCTGTTCTTTCTGCAGTTATTGCACCATCTTCACATCTCTTTAACTATGCAATCAGATCCAGAATTGATGCTAGATGTATAACACTCTCCCTTTATCAGGGATTCTCTGCAGCCATCAGTCTGACTTCACTCTCACTTTTTTAAAATAAAAATGAAAATGAAAATGGTTGTATACTCCTCCAAAGCTTTCTTTAGACAAGAACCAGAGAGTGCAAATTCAATTGCAGCTTTAACTTTCCACCACACCCCTCCCCCCACTGCAATTAAGCAACACGTAAAGAAAGCACTGAACACTCCAGAGACAATTTGTTAGAAGTATAACTTGCGTGTTGGGTGGGATTAAACGCAGACCCTTTTGCACATTTCAGTGCGTGTTTCAGTGGCCTTTTTAATACCACTTTTTATTCTAGATTATAATTATATATATATACTGTATATATGATTTCATTTTAAAACTTGTTTTTACTTCTGCCATTGACAATATTCACATTTGCTAACACATTTATGTTAATTCATTATTAATATTATTAATAATAACTTCCAGATTGCACCTACATTGAAACATTTATGAACACATTTGTGAATGTGTACTTCTATAAAAACTGAAACATTTGTAAATTTTCAGGCACAGAGATGGTTATTTATTCCCACTGATTGCCCTCTATTTCATCAGGAGCTTGTATTGGAAACAAAACAACACAAAATGTGAAATCAAAGTCGTATGTTATTAACTGTATTTTATTTCTTTACTAGGAACTGGAAAGGCTGGCGAAAATTTTCAAATGGAAATGTCACAAGTTGGATTTAGTGCTCACTATTCCAACAAAGAGGTAGGATAATTTATTAGCTGTATAAACAACTACAGATTTAAAGCAGGGACTTTTTTACATTATGCTTTTCCCATTAATATGACTGTTCAACATATTCTAAGATATTTGCATTACACTTAATAAGTTATAAACACTCCTTAAAAATAAATTGTGCTTTTCAGAGTATTACCTTGGTACAATTATGTAATGCAATTTTATTGATAACCTAAGGCATTTGTAGTATTGATAAAAATGTAGGTGTGATTTTACTTCCTTGTTTTGAAATTAAAAATAAAATATATACTATCAGAAGAGGCCACATCCACCAGTATGTAGCCAAATATCAGTCTGGACTTTTGATATGTTTCATTTTTAAAGGAATACTGAAGCATGTTTTTTTTCTTAGGAGCAGGCTTAACAGTTTTCTATTGGTTAATAGAAAACCGTTGGCTTTGGAGTATACTAAGAGTTAAATCTGACATATGTTTCTGACTCAGATCATGCAAGGAACGTATTAATGCTCACTGCTAAATTGGAATTGTCGGCATTAATCATTTATATTTATAGCAGAACATATAACAAGATATATAATTATTATTAGAAGAAAAAAACTTAGTTGAAGGAAAAACCCTCTTTCAGACAAAATATTTTTAAAAAGAGGAAGGAAATGGTGAGGTATCATTCCACTTTTAGATCTGTCTAATATGTTCAAGGACACTTCACAGTACCATACTGTGATCTCAGACTCCCAACAACTGTGTCCTTTAAAGTTAGATACCTCACTACAGTGAGGCTGAATCTTAAAGTCTTGTACTTTAAAACTACACAAGATCATTGAATAAGTATTGGAGTATGCATTTCTTTAGATTATTTTACAATATTTCTTAAAATAGAATATCTCTTAGAATATAGAAAAATTATGATTTAAGTAATGGACAGATATTCTGAGTCTCCTCACTATCACTATCAGTCATCCTCCTCCACAGGATGTCATGATGTTAGGTGCTGTAGGAGCCTATGCATGGAGTGGAACTGTTGTTCATCAAACTGCCCAGAAATCTGACATTTTTCCCCGGCAAGCATTTGAGAAAATCCTTGAAGACAGAAACCACAGCTCTTTGCTTGGTAATCCCCTTATTATTAAGTCTCTCTTATTTATTTTTCATTACTTCGTGATATTACTTTGAATACAAAATGTAGTGTAACCATTTTGTGCTATATACTGTACATGTAGCTATTTTTCATTATCTTTCAGAAGGTGACATGATGTTTAAAAAGGAACATAATTCAGATATATGAATTCTAGAGTTTAAATGAAACTTTTGGTTATAAAAAGTCAGATTTTATACTAGATTAGAATTTATTGAAGTTATCATGTTGATTGAATTCATTTTTCATGTTTGTCCTGTGATTTGCACACTTTTTCCCTGATACTTAACTGTATTTGTGTTATTGCTTGATCAGGCTATTCAGTGACCACACTGACTGATGGCAATGCTGAGTACTATGTTGCTGGAGCTCCTCGTTCCAATCACACTGGTCAAGTGGTTGTTTACAACATAGACAGTCAGCACCAGCCTAAAGTTATAGACTCACAAAGAGGAGAACAGGTGAGCAGATGTTTCCCTTCTTCTTGAAAAGATTGTGCGTGATCTTTTTCTCCTACTCTGTCATATACATTATATGATATACAGTAGAATCTGCAACTCCCACATTATAAAGAGTGTAATGATAATTTACAGTATATTACTTGGCTGTGAAAGGCTGTAAAAATAACAACAAACAACACGAGATGTTCTTAGTTCATAATGTGAAAGAATGTATCATCTGATAATATATATCCTTATTTTCTCATTGTTTAAAAGGTATTTTGGCACTTAAGGCAATTTGTAAGAGGACAAACTATACAAAATGTATGCTTTCCTTTTTTAAGATTGGAGGAAGATAGTTTTAAGATCATACAAGAATATGTTTTTAAAAGTTAAAGCCAAAATAAAATGTTAAAAAAGGATTAACTGTAACACTGCAGAAATATACAGTATCCACAACATGATGATAATATTTTGCAATTTGATTACATTTTTTGTAGTTGATATTGTTGGATTAAGATAATCTTGGGTATTGAAAGCTTACAGCATCAAAAACATACCTTTTGTAATTTTGTGTGTGAACTATAATTTGTTTTAATTTCCCAGATTGGTTCCTATTTTGGTAGCGTCCTGTGCTCAGTGGACGTCAACAGGGACTCCAGAACAGATGTGCTGTTGGTTGGTGCTCCCATGTATATGAGTGATTTGAAAAAAGAAAAGGGAAAGGTGTATGTCTTCTCTGTTACAAAGGTGAAGCAAGTAATTTTGTTTGTGGTGCAGACCTATTTTAGAAAAAAGAAAGTACTTCATGGATTTTTTTATATTCCTTGTGGCTATCATGTTTCTTCACTGCACTGTCCATCGGCAAGTGTACCCACTCAGGGAAGGAAGCGGTCAAAAACAAACAAGCACTCAATGTACAGTACATAGAAGAAATGTCAGTATGTCTTACACATGATTTAATGCTTAACACATCATAGAGCACTATATATTGAGATGTACATATTAAGATTTTGTAAAAGAGTTGCACCTAGTGTGTTAATAAAAATTGTTTTTTTATTTTTAATTAATGATTGCTAATGTTCTTGTTATTATTTCTAGGGCATTTTAAGCCAGCAAGGCTTCCTGCAAGGACCATCAAGCTTTGAGAATGCTCGCTTTGGTATGGCCATTACTGCTGTTCCTGACCTGAACCTAGATGGATTCAATGATGTTATAGTGGGGGCTCCATTAGAAGATGATAACAGGGGCGTCATTTACATATACAATGGAGACCAAATAACCATACGGAAACAGGCTTCACAGGTGAGGGCTGTGTGCTGAATAACTAAGCTTTTTCAAACTATGTCAGCACAGTATTCTAAATATTCTGGATTTAAGGAACCAACTTCTGTCAAGTTGACTTGACCTATTGAATTAAATTACCATTGATGATAATTTTGTTTCATTATCTTTAGAGTACAAAATATTGCTTTTCAAGAAAATACAAAATTGGAAATTGCTTTAAAAACAGGCCTTCTCCAGTTCAGCTCAGTGCCATTCTTGGTCCCTTTACTTTATTCATTAAATACTTGGGACAATTTTATTGTAATGAATTCAATAGCATTCCATCCTCATCCAATTCAGTGTCGCAGGGGAGTCAGAGATAAGGCCTGGACGGGACTCCAGTCCATCACAGGACACACAGATATACAAACACAAACACACATATGCTTAAATCAAGGCTAGTTTTTCCAGAAGCCATTTTCTTTCACATCTTGGATTGCAACTACTGTATGAACCCCTTGACTGCTTGTGGGGGAGCATGAGGATGTGTGGACAGATTTCCTTCCAAGCACTTGTCTTCTTACACATCACAGCAGGGTCTTCCACACATTACTGCAGGGTCAGTGCTGATTGGAGGACAGTTGTGTGCCTCACAGACAGAACAGCCCTGTACTGGAGGATCGTCTTGTCCCTCACAGACAGCACAGCCCTGTACTGGAGGATCAGTGCTGATTGGAGGAGTCGTGTCCCTCACAGATAATACCGACCTGTACGGGAGTATTAGGTGCTGATTGGAGGAGAGGAACATTCCCCACAGGCAGCACTGCTCCCTACAGGATGATCAGTGCTGATTGTAGGCGAAGCATATCCCTCACGGACAGCAACTCAGGCTTGCAACCTCCCCAGAGGCTGCAGGGAGGCACTGAGTCTTTGAGAGCTGAGAGATGTAATATCAGTTCTTCTTTTTTATTTTCTGAGCTACAGTGCCTTGCGAAAGTATTCGCCCCCCTTGAACTTTTCAACCTTTTGCCACATTTCAGGCTTCAAACATAAAGATATA